TTATCCCGCCAGAGGCAGCATCGTTACAGCTAATTACCGGTGATGCTTAGGAAATAGGTCTATTAGGAGTCTCCATAATTGCCTATTGTTTGCCTAAGGACTCTGAGCTGTCAAAGAAGACCTGGAACGGTATAAGAATGGCTTGGGTCCTGATCCTTTTTATCTCAGATCTGTTTGATGCTTCAAGCAGGGGAAGCTTAAGCCATAAAACTGAGATCTCCAGTCCTAATCTGGATCACCCTGAATATGGACATTGGACTATAATTTATGGACCAATTCTGAAAGAACTCTTTGCAACTACAAAGCTCACCATCTCTACTATGAATCTGATCTCAGAACTGTATTCATGTCTGTATGTATACTGATTTTTTTAACCAATACCGTCTCTCTTCTTTTTAAATAAATTTTAGTTTAGTTAATCAGAATTGGCTGTAAGCGTGTAGTTGGGTAAGATCTGGAATATTCATTAACTTGGGTGGTAATGTGTCCGATCCTTTGGGATTGGTAGAACTTCCTTATATGAGGAATAAGATTTTCAATGATCCTCATCATATTTGACTTGGGTGTCTGGGCGGAGGCCTAAGGCTGGGTGCTTCTGGGTAACCAGTGAGGTATTATAGAAGCTGTTTGGGGCTGGTTTGGTAAATCTAAGTATTGGAATATCCACCAGCTTTGGGGATTGTCTGCCCCATTCTTTGCAGTTCACTCTAACTGAGTAACTCCAGTGTGGCCCCCCGGGACCCCAGTCACAGCAACATACACCCACCTCTCTCTCTCTCAGCTTATCCTGAGAACAAACTTTGTCCTTTCGCCCTCCCTCCGGCCTGGTATCCATCCAAAATATAGGAGAAACTGAGGCACACGCAGGACTTTCAAAAATACTACAGAAAATTCCGGCTTTGTCACACATGGGTTTATGGGAAATGGATCCTGTCAAACTAACTTGATATATTTTTGATGATATTTCAAGTCTGGTTGATCAAGGTAACAGTGTTGATATAATATACTCAGATTTCTCTAAGGCATTTGACATGGTACCGCATGACATTGTGATTAAAATACTAGAATGTTATAAAGTAAACCTGGCCCACCGTAAATGGATTCAAAGCTGGCTAACTGATAGATCTCAACATGTAATTGTAAATGGGGAGTCATCATCGAACGGGGTGTTTCTAGTGGGGTCCTGCAGGGATCGGCTCTCAGCCCTATGTTATTTAACATTTGTATTGACGACCTGGAAGAAAACAAAATCACCACTGATAAAGCTTGCAGATGACACGAACGTTGGGGGAGTGGTACATAATGAAGAGGACAGGTCATTGACTCACACTGATGTAGGGTGACCAGATAGCAAGTGTAAAAAATTGGGACAGGGGGTCGGGGATAATAGGTGCCTATTGTTACGTTATGAGTGTGATAGAATATCTCCTTGAAAGAGTTAATTACCTCACTGACTGACCTGACCCATGGGTGAACTTTAGAGACTGGTTAGGAAGATCTGTAAATGAACAGAGCTTTGAAATGCAGCCGGCATTGTTAGAGATCGAAGGGGAGCTGTTTGCTCAGGGCTTGTGATGTAAGCAAACAAGTCTTGTCTATTGCTATAGCTTTAATTCAAAGACCAAAAAAGGAATATTAACATTTGTGATGACACTTGAGTGAAATAGTATTATTGTCTCTATGTCTCTTTGAAGGTTGTGGTAACCTGGATCTGAACTATTTAATGGATAAATTACCCTGTGCTAATTGCCAGGATGTTTGGGAGAAAGAGAGTTAAGCCTATTGTTTTCTCAGGCCAAAAGGCTGCAGGAAATGTATAAGAACCCTGGGACATGATCCTGCTGCATCTCAGATCTGCTTTGGGTTTCAAGAGGGGGAAACCTTAAGCCATAAGGATTGAGATCCCCAGTCACTGACTGGAGCCACCCTGAATATGGACATTGGACTATAACCTATGGACTATTTCTAAAAGGACTTTTGGCAACTACAAGCTCATCTCTGCTATGTGTCTGAACCTCAAGAATTGAATTCAAGTCTGTCTGTATATTGATCTTTTAACCAACTCTCTCTCTTTTCTTTTTTAATAAATTTTAGCTTAGTTAATAAGAATTGGCTATAGCGTGTATTTTGGGTAAGATTTAAGTTGTAATTTGACCTGGGTATGTGGCTGATTCTTTGGGGTTGGAAGAACCTTTTCTTTTATATGATGAGATAAGATTCTCAGTAATCATCATCATATCTGACGTGAGAGTCTGGACGGAGGCCTGAGGCTGGGCACTTTAAGGGAACTGCGTTGACTGGACTTCTGAGTAACCAGTGAGGTACTATAGAAGCTGTTTTGTGCTGGTTGGTAAATCTAAGTATTGGAATATCCACCAGCGTTTGGGGTTTGTCTGCCCCATTTTGTTTGCAGTTCACCCTAATTGGGTGACCTCAGCTGGCTCCCATGGGCAGCACCGTCACACCTATATAAGAAAAAGCCCCCAAAATCGGGACTGTCCCTATAAAATCGGGACATCTGGTCACCCTACACTGATGTGGATCGCTTGGTAAATTGGGGGCAAGCAAAATGTGTGTTTTAATAGGGTTACATGTAGGAACAAAGAATGCAGGCCAGATTTCCAGGCTGGGGGGCTTTACCCTGGAAGGCACCGACTCTGAAAAAGATTTTGAGGGGTGGCCTGGACTATCAGCTGAACTTGAGCTCCCCGTGTGATGCTGTGGCCAAAAGGGCTAATACACAAGCAGGGCTCTCGAGGAGGAGTTGAGAGGTTATTTTACTCTGTGTGGAAGTGGTGCGACCACTGCTGGAGTCCTGGGTCCTGGTGCCCACAATTCCCCAAGAGATGTGGTGGATTCTCCATCACTCACGTTTTTCTAACAGGTCTGTTCTGGGAATTATTTAGTGCAGGTCTCAGACTAGCTGATCTGATCCCCGCTGGCCTGGGGATCTATGAATGTCTGAACTCAGGCCGGGGCCGGTGACTGGGATCGTTCTGGGTGAATGAATCCCTGGCCACTGGTGGGGAAGCAGCTCCAGGAGCCCGGGGCTTTCCTAGCCAAGCAGGGGCCCCTGGGCTCAGACGCTTTGATGGGAAGGAGGAGCCTTCCCCTTTCCCATCCCTCCCCACTCAGAGTCAGAGCAGGCTGAGCCGGCGGGATCCAGGGCTCCCCAGAGTTGTGAGCTCCTGGACCTTGAACACAGAGCCTGGGTCCCAGCCAGACTTCGTGTGGACCCCTGCGGAGCAGCCCTGTCCCTCACTGCACACCCACCCACGGGCCAGCACTCGGCCCCAAGAGAACCACACCCAGCACCCTGCCGACACAGCGTGATCCCCCCACTCCTCGGACTCAGGAGGGGAGACAGGCGCACGACGGGTCCAAGTTCCCCTTCTCCAGAGAGGCGTGAGGACAGCCCCCCGCTACCCAGGAGGGAGCCAAGACTCCCAGGCGGCACGGCCCCCAGCGCTTCCCCTGCCTCCTTCCCAGATCCCGGGGCTGGTCCCTCGGCTTGGCCGCAGTCCTCTCTCATTGCCGCCTCTGAGTACCATGATGTGAGCCACATGCTCCTCCGGCCCAGGCTCCATTCAACACCCTCCTTGCCCTCCCCTCGGCCAAGGCCCCTCCCCTCGACCCCCCCCCCCCCGGCCCCCCCCCCTCCCCCCCCCCCCTCACCCCCCTTCCCTCGGCCAACGCCCCTCCCCTCGACCCCATTTCCTCGGCCAATGCCCCTCCCCTCAAACCCGTGACCCCCCGGGGCAACAACTCTCCCCCCAAATCCCCAGCCTGCCCCCATCTGCTCCCACCTCCTCTTCCCCCTCACCAGTCCCAGCTCCCCCCCATACAGAGTGGGCAGAGAGACATGCGCGACTTCCCCAGCCACCCCAGGGCTGTGCCCAGAAGCCATACAAAGCCTGCCTCTCTGCCGGCCTTGCCCCAGCTCTCGCACCGGCCTCCTCTGCGGGCATCACATGGAGCCAGCTCACGGCAGCGGGGGGCAGGCTCTCCTCAGTGCCAGCTGCATCATGTTCTCCGGCCCAGCCGCTCCCACCACTCCGGTGGCTGCAGAGCAGCCGCAAAGCCCAGCAGCGCGGGCAGTGGAGTCAGACAATCACTCCGCAGCAGGGCGGCTGGGCGTTGACTCTGAACCCTAACGATACCGATGCCAACGTAGGTGGCATGTCAATACTCACCCCAGCGGGCTGCAGAGGACAGGAGTGCTCTCCTCTCCTGGGAGCGCAGCCCCTTTTGCCACCGCCAGTGAGTAGAGTGCGGGAGGGGACCAGCCGCCGGGCTCCTTCCTATTCCCCACCCTGCTGGGGCAGAGCCTCCGGCTCAGCCCTCTGCCGAGGTGCTACACAGCGGGAGATGGCCTGGCCTGGTGCTCAGGCTCGCCAGGCAAAGGCTGCTCTCAACCAGCTGTGCCAGTCCAGTGCGAGAGATGCAGTGTTGCCGGTGGGGGAATCACACCAGCCGGCTGCTCCTGTGCACAGCCGCAGGGCACCGTGGGTAGAACCCTTTGCCCTCCGCCCACCTGCAGGCTCTTTGCCTTGTGGGATACCCCGCAACAGGAGGAGGAAGGGAGGGAGTCAGGGGTCCGCTCCTGGATTGTCTCCTCCCGGAGGCTGGGCCCCACAGCTGTGGCTGAGCCTGTGGGCAGAGGAAACCCACCCGAGGCTGCCCTGCTCAGCGTGGGCTGTCTCCTGCCAGCGGGGCCCCTGCGCAGCGCCCGCCCACGCTGCCACACGCGGCCCCCTGCAGTTGAGAAGAGTGGGGAGTGGCCAACGGCTTCCTACACAACCAACCGGCCCATCTTGCTGCCGAGGTGGCCCAGCGGCAGGATCCCGGGCTCAGGCACCGCACCACCTCGCCCTGCACCGTGATCCTGGCCCCGCTCCGGCCGTGTGGGGACATGCAGGGGCGGCCAGGCGTGCAGGTGACCCTGAAGCCATGCACAGCTCCGCAGAGCACGGGACACCCCGCCCCCCCGCCCCTCCTACCTTCTCCCGCTGGACAAGCTTCTTGTAGACGGAGTCGGGGAAGGAGCGGAGCGGGCAGAACTTGCCGGTGCCCTCAGCGCACATGAAGACGCCGTTCTCGTAGACCACGCGCCCGCGGCTGATGGTGACCAGCGGCACCCCGTGGCAGCGCATGTTCTCATACAGGCTGATGTCGCCCCCCTGCACCTGGGTGCTGGCGGAGATGGTCCTGCGGGTGGCACAGCGAGAGCAGCTGGTTACAGCCCGGCCCAGAGAGGAGGCGGCTCACTGCACTGGGGCAGCCCTGTGCTAAGAGCCAGCAGCGCCCCCTGCAAGGGCCCAGGTGCAGCGCAGCCAGGAGCCCCAGAGCAATGAGCAGCACCAACCGGCACCGGGACATGGATCGCTCCCCCCGCAACCAGCGTCTGTCCTGGGGCCATCGGGCACCAACCGGCACCGGGACACGGCTCGCTGCCCCTCCCCCCCCCCCGACCAGTGTCTGTCCTGGGCCCGTCGGGCACCAACC